TGAGGTAATGTTGAGTTGACTGCGATTCTGTGCTCTGTTCCAAGAGATGAAATATACTACTCAACAATATTTATACTTTGCAAGTGAATAGTTCACTTTCGTGAGTTAAGATTATTCAGATGCACCACTGATAAACCAACCTATGAGCTTACAAAGTGACTATTCAATGGTTATATTTTTTTTGTATCTTGACAGAACTATGTGTAGCTCTACCTGACTTAAATTTTGTATTCTTCCACTTCTCACTAATAAGGATTAGCCACAAACTCCATAGAAGTTGTATTACTCAATCCCCAAGTCCAAGAACTTTGCACTAAATTATTCAATGGCACCATAGACTTTCTGTAGGATTGTGTAATGTTCATCAATTATTTGGTTAATGACCTCTATATCAAGTCTTTCAGAATTTCAGGACAAAGAAAGACAATTATGGGAACCATGATAATCAGTGATATATTGAACAATCCTTTGTAAACATTTCCATGTAGCATTTTTAAATACAACTGAAATCTGAGAAAATACTTTCATCAATCAAAGACTTGATTAGCTGTTTCCATGCTAAATTCAGTAGTATTGTAAGTTGATACTGAGTACATAGATGAAAACAGCTTGTTTAAACAACTTTACTTCACTATCCGTGGACTCCTAACTTTAAAAGTGTCCATATCTTCAACAGACCATTTTTCCTTGAATTGTATTACCTTCATACCACCTCTACTACTACAACTACAGTACGATTAGGAAGCCTTCGACATAAGTTATAATTTGTCTGTTAGGCTAATGTACATTGAAGTTATTGATGAAACAAGCGCTTCTGACAGGTAAGTGAAAGTATATGTATATGATTGCTGGTTTTTCTTTGGATGTCTACATTGACTTTGCAGATGTAATAACTTAACTGTAACACTGCTGTGCTAACCTAAGTTTTCATACTAAATCCTTCAAAATAAACGTAGTTTTGGGGTCGAACCACAGGATACAAACGATTATTATTATTTGTCCCTTCGGTTCCTAGTCGAACATAGAGCTTCAGTAGCACATCCCAAGTGCTCTTTGTTCTCTGGAAACTTTCGAACCTGGCTCCACGACAGCCCACAAGCACTCATTTCTTCCTCACATGATCTCCTCCAGGTCATACCTGTCTCGGCAGCCCAACTTGTCGTTTCCATCTGGGTTCCACTCGACGGTCTGATCTGACGCGTGATGTCCCCAGTCGGTCTTCTCAGTGTATGCCCAATCCATCTCCACTTCCTTCTACTGCATATCTGTTGATTGATAGGTTCTTGCTTCGTTGGTTCGTTGTCAACCAGCTAGCCAGAGTTCCTCCTTGCTTATTCTTATCATTCTGGCCATCTGAGCTTGAGTAACGATCTAGTGTAGATGGTAGTTGTTGATGAATATCTGTATTTTGTTGGAAATGACTTTCGTAACGCGCCAAGTTTCTCAACTATCACACAGAAGCATTGACTTGACTGAAGTGATGTTGAAAATCCAGAGATTGTTCACGCTTTATACTGAGTTCGAAAAAAATTAAAAAAATACTGTCTCTAATCACAACTGAAATGAAATAGTTTCCCTGCTGTGATACTTCAATATGAACAGCAAATTGAGTCTCAATACAAAGTTTTGTAGTGCAGAGTATATGGCAGCAATTTTTTAGGCAAACATAGAGATACTTTTTAAGGTTGGCCTATATGAACATGACTACTCAGTGTTAGTACTTGTTTTTGAAGATCACCATAATATTGGGTAGAACTATCAAAGCAGAGTAATCAGTTTCTTACCGAGATTATCCTTAAAATTACAGCCAGCAGTGTATTGAAGGTATCCTGGTCAACAATGGACTGGATGGTTTACAAAAAACTTACGCACCAAGTTAGTATGATTCATTGTATAGGATGTATTTTTACTTGTGTAATCCCGGTCGACAAGCAAGTCAGAATCGGAAAAGCAAGACAGGTGTTCATTAGCCTGAAACCAGTGTGGAGATCTCCTGCACTCAGCATGTGGAACAAGATACGGATTTTCAACACTAACGTCAAGTCAGTGCTCTTGTATGGTTCAGAGACTTGGCGCGTCACGAAAGGCATTTCCAATAAACTACAGACATTCATCAACAACTGCCACCTACGCTGGCTCGCTACTGAAGATCAGATGGCCAGAAAGAATAAGCAACAAGGAGCTCTGGGAACGAAGCTACCAAGAACCTATCACGCAAAAATATGCAGGAGAAGTGGAGATGGATTGGCCATGCACTGAGAAGGCCGACTGAGGACATCACGCGTCAGGCCAGTTGCTCGAGTGGAATCCCCATGGGAAGCGACGAGTTGGACGTCCGAGGGTGAAATGGAGGAGGTCGTGCGAGGAGGAAATGAGAGCTTGTGGGCTGTCGTGGGACCAGGTTCAAAAGATCTCAGAGAACAGAGTTCACTGGAGACGTGCTACTGAAGCGGTATGTTCCACTAGGAACCCAAGGGACTAATAATATAATAATAATAAATCCCGGTCGACGTCAGATTCATACTCTTGAAAAGGATCTTCCTAACAAGATCGAAACGTTGAGGATCTCAATACAAAATATCTGTTTACTTTGTTATTTGTTCTGCACTCAGGACTACACAAGTTAAAATACACCTTATACAATTTAATAGTGTATTCCTATAAGGATTTAAATATATCGATGAAAAGATTGTATACTGCTGAATGGAATAATATATAATGCAATATATCACTTTTGGTGTGATCACCGGCAATAATTTTGTTCTCTAATTATTATTACCAAAAGAAGAATTTATCATTATGTGCAAACTTCAGTTACACTCAATATATATTGATCTTGGCGACTACAAGGATGCGCGCTTCATCCTACTCGGGACTCGTTAGCTGAATATAGAGGACCCGAGTCAATGATATGGTTCCTATTGTGGATCAAACTCAGTATTCATCACTTACAGAGGCAGAGCCTTATTCACTAAACCAAGCATTAAATAGAACAAAACACCAGTCCTGAAGTCCTCTGTTAGTCACCGAGATCAACGTCACATCATGAATCAGCATTAGTAAGAAAGTATCCGCATAGGAGCCCATATACCAACAGACGTTGAGCAATTCAGCCTTGCATAACAACAGGAAATTATAATTATCATAACAACAATTACACTAAATTCATTTTGAAACAGGCTCCCTGAAATATTACACAACATTGTCACTACAGAATTAAATTCTCTACAAACTTTGAATTCATTTTGGATTTAATCGTAATCTGAAGGCGATTAATCTCTTAAAACAGAATTTATGTGACAAGTAATGGTTTTATAAGCCAATCTAAATACAGAGATAGATAGCTTATGTAAGCTGAGATTCCTACGAGTAAGTATCCTAGTCCAATAGGAAAGTACCTTGGCCACAGAGGAACCAGCCAATCATTTTTCATTTCAAATTTCTCCCTTCCACCCAAAATAAATTACGGGGGGTGGGGGGTAGAAGTGTACCGTGTAATAAACGTCAACCATGAAGTGCTGTCTCATCGTACACTTGTGAAGAGAATCTGATTGATGTAGTAGGATTCGTTGATGATCGACTCTTGTCACTTGCCAATATAACATTTGTTTATTATAGTAAAAGTGAGTTTGATCATTATGATTAAGCGTATAAGAGATCCGTATTCATAAAACAAGATTAATCAATGAAACTATGGGAATCAACAGACAATTTAATTGCTGTTCCACCTTAATTAGAAACTTCTAAGCTATTCTAATATACCTTACTAAACAGTTGAGCATAATTTCTTGTAACAATCATATTCCTATCCAACAGGAAGCTCAGTGATCCTTTTAAAGTGAAGACAGGAGTAAAACAAAGCTGCCACTTACAATCACCCATGATATTCCTGATTGTGGTGGACTGGATCATGCAACAAATAGTGAGGAGCGAGAAGATTGGCAAATGCTGGCTGGACAGCGGAAAAGAACCTTGAAGATTTGGATTTCACCGATGATGACTTGTGTCTAATGTCTTATGGCATGAACTCGAAGATTTACAAGCGAAAACTAACAAGTTGACAGAAAAGGCAGGGCAGCGAAGGAGGACGGGACTTCAAGTGAATGTAGAGAAGACAGAGATGATGAAGATACCCAACCACCACCACCAACAACAAACAATCTCCAATCACCATCAATGCGAGAAACTTAAAGGAAGTAGCCTCCTTCACCTATGTAGGCAGCACTACATGCGCCACAGGCACAGACTGCGACGTCAAAGCAGCCGTGATCGTAAAGACAGCAAGATAGGCGTTCGTTAACCTGAAATAATCAGTGTGGAGATCTTCTGCAATCAGCATAAAGTGTGAACAAGCTCCGGATTTTTAGCACTAATTCAGTCAAGTCAGTGCTTCTATGTGATGATTCAGAAACTCTGCGAGTCAGGAAAAGCATTTCCAACAAACTACAGACATGCATCAACAACTGCCTACGCTGGCTCCTTACTCAAGCTCAGATGGCAATAACAGTGGGAATAAGGAATAAGGAACTCTGGCTAGTTGGTTGGCAAGGAACCAACGAAGCAAGAACCTATCACCCTACAAATATGCAGAAGAAAACAATGAAGATGGATTGAACATACACTGAGAAGACTATTCGAGGACATCACGCGCCGAACCAGGCTAGGTCAGTCCTTTGAGTGGAACCCAGATGGGAAACGGCGAGTTGGGCATCCCAGCTGACGGTAACATGGAGGAGATGGTGTGAGGAAGAAATGAGAGTTTGTAGGAAGTCATAAGGCCACATTGGAAAGTCTGAAGAGAAGAGAGTGGAATGGAGACTTGCTACTGAAGCCCTATGTTCCATTAGGAACCCAAGGGTCAAATAATCATAAATAATTTCTCTAGAATATTCTTCAAGTAATATTTTTTTAAACACATGAAAACCAATTTTCTTTTACTGCAGTTTTTTTCTCAGTAATGTTTTGCAACTTTTGTTTACCTACATAATATTTATTTTCAGGGTTACCAAGAATTGTATTCACCTGATATACTGAATACTCAAAATTCTTCAAGAAGAAATCCTTTGGAGTTGGACCGCTCAACTAAAAAAGGTATAAAACAAAATTGTAAACCATTTTGATGATAATCAAGTGAAACTTTAGACAGCTTTTTCGATCAAGAATAAGACTCTATAGTATTGAGAATCCATCACCGTCATCCTACTCCACCAAAGGTCGTATTCAGAGCCTTCATGTTCCATGGCGAGCTCATCAGTATTCTGCCAATTGTAAACAGTCTAATAGTCAACACGTTTCTGCTTTTGTTAATTCATGTTATAAGGTGACCTTCTTCAAATACCACTGTGAAATACTAGTTATCAGGTTCTAGTTGGTTTGCCCCACTCTCCATAATTTCCTATGTAGTACTTATATGTCAATATTATCAGCTTAAAGACTGATGATTACCGCTGTCCATTAATACTTCAACTATCAATCGTCAATCTCTACGCTCATCTCATTAAAGACTCGAAAGTACATAAAGTAAGCATAAACGGAATCAGAAATCCATCAGTCCAAGTAATCCACTTCATTTAACTCAGTGAATGTCTCTTTGATATCCTGCCATCATCGAGAAACTTTTCATGATATACAAGACCAGAATCTTCATAGATTGCCATAATAGATAATTATCCTGAAAAGGTTCTATTCTTTATGATCATACTACAGTAAGTAATCAACAGTGCCCCAAAACGTTATCCAACAAGTGATATTCTATCGCTGAGTGTTTTTTTCAAGAAATAAACACATTAATCGAATACTTGACAGTAATATAACAAATGCCAGTTGCTTCCATCTTCAAATCTTTCACATGAGTTCATGCTTCTCGTCATTAACAAGAAAATACATTCAGCTTACTTAAGTAGACAGAAAAAGCTCATATGGATTTGAAGGTTTCTAAAATCAACAACACTACAGAGACAGAAAAATTAAACCGCCGTTAGTTAGTAAGCTAGTTAGTTAGTTAGTTAGTTAGTTAGTTAGTTAGTTAGTTAGTTAGTTAGTTAGTTAGTTAGTTAGTTAGTTAGTTAGTTAGTTAGTTAGTTAGTTAGTTAGTTAGTTAGTTAGTTAGTTAGTTAGTTAGTTAGTTAGTTAGTTAGTTAGTTAGTTAGTTAGTTAGTTAGTTAGTTAGTTAGTTAGTTAGTTAGTTAGTTAGTTAGTTAGTTAGTTAGTTAGTTAGTTAGTTAGTTAGTTAGTTAGTTAGTTAGTTAGTTAGTTAGTTAGTTAGTTAGTTAGTTAGTTAGTTAGTTAGTTAGTTAGTTAGTTAGTTAGTTAGTTAGTTAGTTAGTTAGTTAGTTAGTTAGTTAGTTAGTTAGTTAGTTAGTTAGTTAGTTAGTTAGTTAGTTAGTTAGTTAGTTAGTTAGTTAGTTAGTTAGTTAGTTAGTTAGTTAGTTAGTTAGTTAGTTAGTTAGTTAGTTAGTTAGTTAGTTAGTTAGTTAGTTAGTTAGTTAGTTAGTTAGTTAGTTAGTTAGTTAGTTAGTTAGTTAGTTAGTTAGTTAGTTAGTTAGTTAGTTAGTTAGTTAGTTAGTCTTTGTGTTATTTGTCTATTCATTTGTTCGCCCATTTATTTATTTATTTTTTAGGCGAATCAATCAACAATCCATGTAATCTACTGTCTTTAATCAATCCACCATCAACAACGGAATCTGCACGATTAGATAATTCAGTGTCAACATTCTATAGACAGAGTCGAACGCCACCTCCACTTAGAACTCTAAGTGGAACATCACCCAGTGATTTCGTCACATATACGCCAGAACAACATCGCGAACATGTATTTAAATTAAGACAATTACATCAAATCGGTGTAGAAACTACACCACATTATCAGACAATCAATTCATTTCTTCCACTTCAGTCAACTCATCAAAAAATGAAATTATTAAAGCGTAGAGTGGATAATTCTAATCAGCAGAGATTACCTTATTTGACAGAAATGACCAACCAATACAATGATCTCACTGAGAATAACAATATCACCTCTACTCATCCAGATATGTTAAACAAACAACAACTACAACAACAGGTAAGAAAAGGAATGAATGATAAATTTTTTTTAATTGATGAAATAATTAACATGTTTTTCAGTCCAAGATGTGTGTTTCGTCCCAGTTGTGACTCAACAGCTGGATTTATCTACACCCCTGTAAGTGAAGCTATCCCAATTGACATTCAAACCTCGTACTCATCACTTGAAACATCAAAGTATTATCCACTAATCATCTTTTATACAATGGGTTTTAGTTAATTCGATTCACTATAACAATGAAGAATTACAAGTATATCAATAAATGGTAATAATAATAATAATAATAATAATAATACTGTATTTTTGAGATGAGTGGGGATTTTTAATTTAGAAGTAGTATTCATCATAGACTGACATTAGTTGGGGAACCATTGAAAATCTGGGAGCACTGGACAGCTACCTGTGGAGTCAATTAGTCAGAAGTGAAGTGGATGCTAACTGAAGACCTTGGGTGATAGTCGCTCTATGTCGTGAATTGACAGAAGTTGAAAATTATGAACCACTGGAAACCCACCCAGTAGCTGAATGATTAACGCATTCGCCGTGAAATCTGAAGGTCCTGAGTTCAATTCGTAGCCGGGTCGCGGGTGCGTACTGCTGGGGAGTCCCATACTAGGACGAAACAGCTGTCCAATGCTCCCAGGTTTTCAGTGGTTTCCCAACTGATGTCAGTCCATGATGAATACTACTTCTAAATACACTTTAAGTAGTATGAATTGGTCTTCTGAAGGAGAAATTGCTCTTCTTTGCATGTGTAGTATAAAATTTTTTACTAGTATCCTGTGTGAAATAAAAAGTCAAAATTATCCATTTAGCAACCATATATACATTCGTGTAGTAAGCAATGAGCTTCAGTTGTTGAATCAGAGCTAATGATACGTCCTAGATGCCATGACCTTGGTAGGTGGGGCGTAGTTTTGAATTTATGTCAACATTTAAGCCTTCTGCATCGACTAGTCAGCTAGTAGTCAGTGGTTCTATGAATCAATAATCAGTAGACAGTATTTTTAAACTTCGTACACGTATTCATTGGTCAGGGGAGTGCAACCAATTTCATGTTGTCTAGTCCTGAGTGCACATCGAATCCTATCGATCATATTTGCAATGTGGCAATCAAGCTAGGAAGCTGAGCATTGCGGTGCCCATTACTAGATGTTAGTTGGTTGGAGGCAATCGGCTGGAAGCCCTGCTTGACCTAGGTTTCGTCCATTTTGGCACTTGTCAGCAAGGTGTATCTGGAACCTGGACAGAACTGATGTCCTGCCTGAGATCCCAACTCACGTCACCCAGTGTTGTAGTCAGCGACTTTACTACTGAGGTATTCAGGCCGCCATTGACCTCCAACCAACTAACATCTACTAATGTCCACCACGATGCTGAGCTTCCTAGCTTGGTTGCCACATTGGTTGCACTCCCGTGACCAATCAATACATGTAAGCCAGTCTTAAAGGAAGTTTTTTGACGGCTGAATAGGTCAGTGGTAAAGTCGCTGACTACAACACTGGGTGGCGTGGGTTCGAATCTCAGGCGGGCATCTGTTCCATAGAGGTTGCAGATACGCCTTGCTGGCGAGTACGGAAAGCACGAAAGCCTGGGTCAAACAGGGCTTCTTGCCAATTACCTCCAACCAACAGATTTCATATATTTAGGATGAAGTGTCAGCGTGCACCAGTTTTAATGATGCTGGTCTCCTTTTATTTTTTGCATATCCTTCCACTTAAAATGGTATGACTTCTTCCATTTAAAAGGTTTTCTGAGATTCTATTGATTTCGATTCGTATCATCACTAACTGGCATCAGTTGGAGAAACAGTAGAGACGTCAGAGTATTAGACAGCTGTTTTGTCATAGTGTGAGACTGGCCAATAGATCATTCCTACGACAATCAGGTTTGCCATCGAACCATTCAGTCGGAATCCAATAGTCCACAGTTTCCCATTTCTGAAAATTCAGTGACATGACACGATCTTCCTCCAATATATATCTAGACATTTCACTTGATTTTCCTCACGGTCATGACTTCTTAGGGGAACTTCAGGAAACCCATGTCTAAGCAAGTCACAGTATTTCACTCTGAAGGATTGTTGAGTTTTCAATGATTCTCCAACTGATACCAGATCATGATAAATACCAACTTGTTATTAAAATGTCTGTTAAAAGTTACAAGGGGAGGGGGGGAATGTTTCTTCCACTAAGATACATCCAGAAGTGAGTACTTGGATAGATTGAAGCAGTTTTATGGTTCTCTTTATTTATTGATAAATCTTCAAATTCCTATCGTATATCCATACACAACATTGAAATTAATATGACCTTTTGTTACTGAATCACTATGCAATTAGATCTTCGCTTCAGAAAGAAACTGAGAATCAACATAGAACCATATTATTATTTATTATTATTATTATTATTAGTCCCTTGGGTTCCTAATTGAACGTAGGGATTCAGTAGCATGTCTCCAGTGAACTCTGTTCTCTGAAATCTTTTCAACCTGGTTCCACGACAGCCCACAAGCTCTCATTTCCTCCTCGCACGACCTCCTCCATGTCACCCCCACCACGAACGCCCAACTCGTCGCTTCCCATGGGGATTCCACTCGAGCAACTGGCCTGACGCGTGATGTCCCCAGTCGGCTTTCTCACTGTATGCCCAATCCATCTCCACTTCCTTCCACCGCATTTTTGTTGCGTGATAGGTTCTTAGTTGGGTGGAGGTGGCGGTGGCGCTATATCATGAGCTAACAGAAGTTGGAAATATGAACCATCGGATTCTGACTAAATGACTCAATGGTAGCGTACTGGCCACGGAACCCGGGGGTCGCGGTTCGATCCCCGGGGGGGTCGTGGGTGCGCACTGCTGAAGAGTCCCATACTAGTCGGACGAAACAGTTGTCCAGTGCTCCCAGGTTTCCATTGTTCCTCCAACTGATGTCAATCTTCGATGAATAACAACTTGAAGTACTAAGTTGAATGACGTAACACCGTGGATATAAAGAGAAATCAGAATTATAGGAGTGGCGGAATATGATGTGTGTATGTGACAAGATGCAAATGAAAAGATTTTTCGAGATAAAAATGTTTTTACAGGTTATGTTCACTGCAGCTCAATTGACTGGATAAATTTCTTCTGAATGCAGAGTTCAAGCTTCAAGTTACTGACTACCTTTCATGAGATTTCCTAGAACTGTATTGATGACACTGAAGATGTTTTTTGCATTTACCCCAGATGGTCATAATCGGTCTAAAATGGAGCTGTGAAGTGTTCTCCTTTCTCCACTGTGGGGCCAGTCTGGTATATGTTTGAAAATGCCCTTGGAAAGCGAACGCTGAATACGGTCATATACCTTACTTCACAGGACCAGATGAATTAATAAACACATTGAGGTGGCCAAGGAAGTGAGCTTATCCTTTACGCATAATCGAAGCGCTGGATGAGTGGAGAAAGTTAATCTGAGTTTGGTAGGATAGAAAGTCTTTCTCAATGAGCGTACCAGAGGGTTTTTGGATATATCTACTAATGTTTCTCCATTGAACTGTAAGCCCACTTGAAGTGGCTTCTTAGGAGCCGTAGAGATAGGATGATTATTCTCTCCTACTTCCAGTTTAGTTTTAGCAATGAAACGCTCAGTATACTAGTTGTCAATCAAAACATTTTTACGAAAGTATCAAGTTCTCAGATAGTGTGGATTCTATGACACATAGAGTGAAGTAGGTTTCGTTTTGATGCATAGAGGTACCCGACTACGGGGATTCGTAAGCTGTTCATTCCATGTGTGTTTCCTTTGGATAGACCTTTTGAGCTATCCCTTTTCTCATCTTTTTAGCTGCACATATAAAAAGGATATCTTAGAACTAATTTCCTTCTCTAATATGAACCTGATCGAAGAGTGACAGTTATTAAATTGAGATAGGATATCTTCTGAACTATCCGTACCATTGAAGATGATGAAGGAATCGCCTACGTGTCGCTTATAAAGTTAGAACTGGTTTACGTGTATGTTCTCTAGGTTTGACATGAAGAAGTTTGTAGACAAGGGGCCCAATGATGAACCCAAAACTATGCCATCTTTTTGCCTGTATATTTCAGTATTAAAGGAAAATTGGATGTTCAAGGTGCATCTCAACGGCAGCTGCTTCAGATAATGTGTAGTTATCCCAATGAAACTGACAAAATCAAAAGACTCATGAATTGTATGAAGTGAAACTTAACTTCTTATGAGCTCCAAGATTTTGATTAACCACTGGGCGATACTATGATAAGGCGATCCTGTCACCTCAAGAATAGGTCGTAGATATGATGATGCTCCTACGAATCCCTGGTTACGTTTTATTGCACAATGCTATATAGTACATTTTCTAGTTATCTAACCTGTAGACCTGATCTTAAAGTAGCAGGACATGGTTCAGCATGGAACATACTGCAACGATGTATCAAATTCCATGACATTGTCCCTTAGTGAACTTCAGTTAATAACAATAACTTTCCTATTCTCTGACGAAAAATACCGCTGGAGATCATCAACAATGTTCTGCCATGGTAGTATTGATGACCAACAATGTAAACGAATCTAATGAGTGTGTTATGTTCTTGAGTTGACCCGTACGCTACTGTTATATACCTCTGAAATGACGATTTGGCCAACTGTTCTGATCTTCACCTCGGTTTGGGTTCCCTATTAGGTCTTATGAATAACAGACTGAGGGAAATGCTGAATGCTGGCCCCAACTATTATTATTCCCCGAGTTACTATCTACAAGTTGAGCCTACAGCTACTGACGTCATACCAGCCAACTTAATGATAAAACGGAGTCAGACTGTTTGCCCACATAATGCCTAACTAGGCATGGGCGGCCAATCAGAAAGTCAACGAATGAGGACAGGATTGATAGACACGCGTGAAGGATACTTACACACGACTGGTTGTTGCTTTCATTCTTCCTGACTGTGGATACAACAGAACCAAAGCTTATACCTTCGATATTACATAAGTTATTTTAGACTTTGAATAGCTTGTCTAATACTGTATTGTTGTCTTATGAGAAATGCATGGAGTTATGAAAATTTTCTCTTGTAAAGAAAAATGTGTAATACTCTTAACTAGTAACCTTTTCAAAAATTATTCACTACATAAGGTGATATTTAGCTATGTTGATAGGAAGCTGCCTAATTGGAAATCAAAATTTTAAGTCATCAACTGCTAAGGTAGAAATTTCATGCTACTGTGTGGTTAAGCAAAACGTTATTGGACTATTTTCTCCCTACAACTGACGAATAAAAATAATTTATTTAACTTCTTGCCTAGTGTTTTTACATGTTGATTGAAACTGTACATAAATGGTGCATTTTTGTCTAATTAGGTGTTTTCCTTACACTCATGGATCGGTCTATGTCTTTAAAACATTTTCGCAGCTCAATGAAGAATAAGGTTCTGAGGGGGAACAGTCGCTACTCACATGCAGTTCAACAGTCTTTTCGGACTATTATCGTTTGCGTATTTCATTATTAACTACTTGGTCACTTCATATGGGTTGAGATCTAATGTGATTGGTGAGAACATTGAACCCAAAACCAAGTCCCACAAATCACCAGTTTCAGACAGATGAAATGTCAATAAACTGCTGCAATAAATCTTGAGAAGACCTTTAGACTCTCTATGAAAACTCAGTAACTTATTAGACGGTAGGATTCAGTCTACAGGAAACCCTGGATCTAGTTTCTTGCAAGACATATCTGCAACACGAGGAAACTGGTGTTTCTTCGTTGATTCAAGCTTGAACCGCCGCTTGCTTGTTTTCTGCTTTAAGATGAAACGGGTACTTCAGGTTTACTTGAAATTAAATGGTACGGCTTAGACAATTAAAATAGAATTGGACATTACATATGGTTAGCGGCCACTATTGGAAGCTAGGGCACGTGTTTTGTTCGCCTGCAATTCGTCAGCTGGCCTAATGGATAATGCTCTGGGGTTTGAAGCGATTGCTTCCAGGCCCAAGTTATAGTAAAGAAGTGACATCTACCTAACTCCTAGCAAATAACCATCATTAATATCAGACTGAAAATATCTGTAAGAAAGCCCATATGCCAGTAGTGGTCGTTCAGTTAGGTGTAATCAACGACGAGGAATTATAACCCGAAACATCTGAGCTATGATAGACATTGTGATAAGATTTTAAGGTGCCTAACCCATTGTTAAAGCATACTATAATGCGAACTTCTTGTTCATAATTTTGTCCTTTATACGAAATTTAGGCACACGAAAAACCCCTCAAAACTAACAAATAGTATGAGATGATTATATAAGAAATAATTCCCTTCGATTCATTCGGAATTATTATCATCAAAATGGTGTACAAGCTTATCTGTAACTAATGTCAATAATCCAGAGCTCTGAAGAATGACCGCACAGTCACCTTTAACCTGATTGGCTGCATCAAGGTCACTAAAGGTGGGTTAACTTTCCTAGTTCTATAAATTGCATCACTGAAAGGTTTAGGAGATTAATGATTCATCATTGTGGTGTACTATATTTGAGTTCACTTATCCGTGTAATGAATAATGACCACATCAATGACTCAGCCTGATGAGTACAAATTATGATACAAAAATTGTTTACTGTTTTAACAAGATCACTCTGTGATTCTAATTCAGATATCTACTATGATTTTTCAACCTTTTTACTATTTCCATGCGTTTTACAGACCATCCTGCTCTATGATATATCAGCGACCAATCAAAAAAATGCTTCATTTGTCCACGATAATCATCACAATCAAGGTTATCCATGCAACCAATCAGAAAACAGCACATCAATACCATTTAAAGAAACCTCACCTTGTTTAACAACCAATCAGAATGAACAAACAAAAGATGAGAAAAGCATGTCAAACTTGTTTAAAAATACTAACAACAACGCTACTCAAAACACAAAAAGTAGTACTCATGACAATAATAATAATAACAATAATAATAATAATAGCTCTGATAGCAACAGTAAAACAAAAGAAATGCAGAATCAGCCACCTAAGATGGTCAGTAAAACAAGTTCACTGAAAAGGAATACAACTACAACAAGTAAAGGAGTATCATTCGTATGAAAATTTCCTTTATTTTATTATCTTACAATATGATTGTAGTAAAAGATAATACCTAATGTATTCGCCACGTTTATCAGCATAATTATATCTTTTTTTTCTTGTACTCTGAACTTCATACTACTCATATTCATCATTTAAGTAGTTTGGAGAATGAGAGATGCGTAATTCACTAATATAAAATCTGTTGTAGGCATTATAATTTCAGGAATATGAAATTAGTATCCTTTCTATCAGAGATAATTTTATTCAACCTCATTTCTATTATTCCTACTTGTTAATCAAAGGTTTTTTTTCTTTGTTATCATTGTTGTTGTTATGTTTACTCCTTTCTTGAATGTACATAAATAAGTTATACATTGTACTTTCTTTTCTAGGTAAAAAGAAATCCTGATTTTCCTATTGACCAACTTAATATGTTATAGTTTGCTTATTTTCGATTTTTATTTGAAAGTGAATTGGTTACAAAATTATTTCGATTGAAAATAACAACCTTTACCTATTTGCTCCTTATTCTCTCTTATGATTTGTTCTCGAACTGTTGGGTAAGTTGACCAATTGTATGTGATATTAGTCTTGACAGGAAAGTGAGAAAAAAGCTACATCCTCTTTGTACATTTTTGGATGATGTTCTCGCAAGATATTAGAGGTCAGCACTAGTAGTCTACAATTCTACAGCGTTATCTCTCATTTCTTCCTCAGAAGCCCAACTCATCGCTTACCATTTGGATTCCCCTCGGCGGTCTGGACTGGCCTAATCCAATCCATCTACACTTCCTCCTACTGCATATTTGTTAGGTTATAGGTTCTTGGTTGGTTCGTTCCGATAGTGAGTTCCTTATTGCTCATTTCTATTATAGCCATCTCATCTACATATCCAGTATCGAGTGAGTCAGAGTAGGTGGCAGCTGTTCATCAATGTCTGTAGTTTGTTGCAAGTGCTTTCCCTGACACGCCAACTCTCTGAATCATCACATAGGAGCACAGACTGACTTGAGTGAATTGGTGTTGAGAATCTGGATGTTGTTCACGTTTTGTGTTTAGTGGAGTGTAGTAGATGTCCATCTGCACACTGACTGATCTCAGATTAATGAAGGAAGGTGTGTCTTTCTGTCTTTCTTATTGTGGTTGGTGTGATATCCTCATCTGTGCCTGTGCCTGTGCCGCCACCATCTGTACTGGAAACGATGCTGCCTATGTAGATAGGTGTGTAGGTGTGTAGGTAGTTGAAAGAGGCTACTTCCTTGAGGTTTCTCCGATCTTGGTGATTGGTGCATCTTGTTGTTTATCTTGTTGTTCGTTGGGTATCTTCATCGCATCCATCTTCTCTACATTCACCTGAAGTCCTATCTTCCTTCGCTGCCCTGTCCTTTCTGTCAACTTGTTAGTTCTCGCCTGCAGATCTTCGAGTTTGTGCGACATATGACATTACACATGAATCCACATCGGGCGAAATCCAAATCTTCTAGACTCGTTTCATCGGTCCAACCAGAGTATGCTCATCTTGTTCCTCATGGTTTGCTGCATGATCCCCCTTAGTTCACCACAATCAGGAAGATCATCGGTGACAGTAAACAGCCTTGTCTTACTCCTCTCTTCACTTCAAAGGAGTCACTGAGCTTCCCATCGTGGACCACCCTGCATGTGGCGTCTTCATATAGTTGTTGAATGAAGTTGATAAGGATTTGTGGCACTAGAGCCGTAGTGCTGAAGCTACTGCCTGCCAAATGACTTCTCGGTTGACGCCGTCGAAGGACTTTTCAAAGTCGATAAAGTTGAGTTGACTGCGATTCTGTACTCTGTTCTATGATCCGTGGCATAGCCTTGCAATCTGATCCACACATGATTCGTTCTTCCTGAATCCAGCCAGCAAACTTTTCGTGCCGTAATTTTGAATCCTATGCATCTTTGAGTCTCTCCAGGATGATGCGGCATAATATTTTGCTTGTTGTGGGTGGACAGCAGCATCATTCCTCTACAGTTCTTGCAAAGACTTTGGTCGCCTTTCTTTGGCAGTTTGACAAGGTCCCCCTTCTTCCATTCAGTTGGCAGGTACCCTTCCTTCCTTCCAAACTTTCTGCAGTAGTGGTGTGATATCTGGTATATGGCCAATCAAATTCAAGTACCCATTGACTAATCATAATCAAGAATATGAAAGACAAATTACCGATTAAGGAAAATCGTACTTAATTTGTGATGTATACCTCTTTTTGAAATGATGAATAAAGTCATCTAGATTTTCTTTAGGTCTATGGTCTTCGAAATCATACCACTGACTTTTTTGCTGCTCATCCATTTGAGACTTTATCATTCCCCCTCATAAACCTATTTAATTTCCTAAGAACTTTCTAAGACGACTTCGTATATTTTCAAGGTGGTTTGTGTACTCCATCTGTCCGATCAAAGAAATGCTCCTTATGAACGGTAGCTAGATGGGGGAAACTCATTTCTGACAGATGTATATGCGACATCCAAGGATCTGTGTATACTGTAGTACCCAAGGCTACACATTTTCTAATCATTCCTTTATCCATCGACGATATCCTTTCTTTGTATCTTGGTGAAGTATTACCAAGAATCTACTGGTTGCCAAGACATATATGTGTAACTTACCCGGTCCTGCAATGTAATCCTCATCATAATTCAGTAAAATTTTCTACAATGTTAACAACAGTGTCAAAGGACGTAACGAATAACCTTGAATATAATACCTTAATCCTGATTGGTTGTACTCAAGAGTTCGGGTCACTAAAGTTTTGTTCTACCCGTTATAACAGGTACATTAGTTATGGGATCATAATCTTACTCGAAAAGTATTCATCGTTATTCAAGCCAGGAATTTCATATTGCTGACGAACAAGATGCTACTATGATTAGCCATTGTTAACTTATATGTATTAACAAATAATTGATCAATCTTTTAATGAATCAGTAGCATATTGGATAGTTCTCAGGTGTCTGAATCAGCTGATTTTAGATTAGCGTACTTTGTAAAAGGAAAACGAATCAAGATAAAAGGGTTTATTCAGATGATGGATCTTAGACAATAAGAAACACTGGTTAATGAAGTTGACTGTTATCCGCTACAAGTTATTAGCCAGATGTAATCACACAAAAAGGACTCATTTAGGACTTCCTCCCTTTCGATTAGAAAGTAGATGATAAACTGAGTCTCTTTTAATACTTCATCTTCTTCAATGTGTCCTCAAAGAGGTTCAAACTCTTTCTTTACAACCTCACTTCATGCTATGAATGATAGTATGACCTTACAGTCTACGAGTGATACAAGTCTAGCAGACTACAAGCGATATGAACCTAAGGCGCTAACGGATCGATTCTAACGCAAATCTGAGTGTCAACCACCACCACAACAACAACAATACCACCAACAAGTGAAAACAAGAAGAGAAGACAGACCGTTGATAAAGCGCCTTTTACTGTCTTAATAACAGTCATTACAGCTCACAGCGACGCTGAATATGTACATTTCTAAACGACCTTGATAACATTTAATCCACACATAGGTAGAGATATTTAACGACCAATGAGAGTTCAGCTTGAGAGAAGAGGGAAGAAAAAATTGCAATGGTGTGAAAATGGCCATGATTGGTTATTTCAAGGTCGTGGGCAAACAGTCACGAAAAAGCTGTGCAAAGTTAGGGGTATATGCACTTAAGACTTCTAGACATCATGACAGTATGAATCACCCATTTTCATCAGCTTTATTTCACCTCACCAATGGGGTTTCGATATCTGTGATGTATGTCCAACGTGAACAGATCAATTTATGTACACATGACGGATGTATGTTTTGTGTTGTTGAGTGATAATCTACTTCTTATACTTTTGTGTTAGTTGCCGGTTGTCATGACTGCTTCCGTTATTTCGGTGTCTCTCCCGTGTGTTGTGATTCAATCGGTTATTTGGAACAATACCTGGATAACTACGGGCCGGCTTGTTAAAAACTGACTGCTTTCTTGTTACCATAACAAGTGATACGGAAGGTTATCCTAAGCAAATCTTTATACTTCGAAGTTTTGAAAAAGAAATTTTGTCTTTTCAACTGAGATGAGAGTACTGGGGAGCCTGAGATACGGATAAAATCTGATGAAAGGTTGTACTGCAAAATGCGGATACCAGGTACATTACCCAGCACCTCTAAGTAAACAATGACCTTTGTTTTCGAATAAATTACATACGTCAGTCAAGAGTGACTTTGAAGGTCATCCTAGCAGTTGCTAAAGTGACCAATCACGTTGCCCTATTTCACCTATAAAGGTAATTTTTTAAATAAAGAACCGTAATTGGCTATCTCAGCTTTTGTTAGGATGGCCTTTGAAGTTGACCTTAGCCAGTCGACCGACCACATCCAAAAGTTATAATACTTTAGTATGACACATTCATGGGACATTTCGAAGCTGGTATACTTTAATATCACGCGTCTGAACTCATGACTACCAAATGAACAACCTTCACAAATGACCTCAAGAGCGACTGTAAACCGGCAAACTGTAAGTCCACTCTAAAAACAACAGAAATAATTTACTAGGTTCTTTAGTTTACAAAAACATGTGAATTTCAAGGTGAAATCAACAAACCTGATTGTTCAGTTTATTAGTTGCTAGGTTGCCCTATAAGTCAACCCCCTGAGGGGGTTGATTTGATAAGTCCAATTCTTTTATTTCCACTAGAAATGTAGATTTTTGGGCGATTTTAAAGGCTAACCTAGAAATTATAAAAACAACCAAATAAGTTCCTCCATTTCCGCTTGAAAAGCATATTTTCATTAAGTAGAGAAAGTATAATTGGTTTCTTTAGTTGTTGGTAGAGTAGCCTTTAAGGTCACGCGTTTTATTATGAAATAATGTTTTCTAATTGGTTGCCTCAACAGGTCTAACGGTGAGCTAGCGAATCACTTAACTTTCACACTATAATGTGATTCAAAAGACTGAAAAGGCAACAATCGAAACAAACAATAAGGTTTCCTTATTTCAGCTGGAAAA